TTATCGCGAATGTGTGCGCACACGTATGCAATGTCGTGAAACATTCGCAAATATGTGCGCACACGTATGCGATGTCGCGAAATTTATCGCGAATATATGCGCACACGTATGCGATGTCGTGAAATTAATCACGAATATGTGCGCACACGTATGCGAATTTGTTTGCAATGTCGTGAATTTTATTGCATACCTTGTCGCATACCTTTCAGTAAAATTCTCAATGAACTGGGGAGTTGTAGCAGCTAGTCTGGAATCTAGACGTACTGTTAGATGTAAATAGGGTCTGACTAATAAACCTTCGCGCGCACGCTGTTCCTCGTGCAATCGTTACTACTAGTACTGTCGAGCACAAACTTGCTACTTGCGCAACTTTGAAATTTGGGCGCGTAAGTTTGAAACTTGTGCGCGCAAATTTCAAAGTATGCAATAAAATTCACGACATTGCAAACAAATTCGCATACGTGTGCGCACATATTCGCGAATTGTTTCACGACATCGCATACGTGTGCGCACATATTCGCTATTAATTTCACGACATCGCATACGTTTTACGCATATATTCGCGATACATTTCGCGACATCGCATACGTGTGCGCACACATTCGCGATAAATTCCGCAACATCGCATACGTATGCGCACACGTTTGCGATATGCGATGTCCCTTCAGGGCCACCATACATATACGATATGAACGCAGACGAACTGTACCAGACTGATATGTCATTCATTACGCAGTATTATTGGGTTTTTTTTGCGCTTGCGTATTTCCGATGCAACCCTTGTTGATTATGCATGTTGAGGTCACTGCCTTTTTGTAACGTGATATCGCACCAGTTTCCCGAGACGCTCCTGTGATAGCGGTTGGTGTGTGATTGCTTTGTGTGATAGCGGTTTGTGGCTGATAGCGGTCTGTGTGTGATTGTGCCCTTTATCAGCGATGGTTCGTGATAATGGTTTTGGGGTCCGGGCGGCGAATTTTCTTTTCCCAAAACGACATCCGCAAAGCGCCCTCTACGACATTTCCCAAAGCGCCCTCTACGACACTGTTGTGATACGTACGCAGGTATATTATTATTATTTCCCTCATATTGCACCCTAAATTGTTGTCTTTTCTAATCTGAGGCTTTGAAATAAAGTCTGAATTTCATAATGCTCGAAATTATTTTTTTTCTTCTAATTTTATATTTTCTTCTCATGTTTTTAGAAAAGTTAAAGGGACACAGGTCCTGGAACAGCCCAATTTGGCTACAAAACGTGCTTTGAACGAGATGATGTTAATCGGAAATAAGACGAGTGCTTCATGTGATAATTTCTCAGAGTATATGAATGACATTTTTTGAAATATTAGCAATGAAAACAAAAAGTGTTTTATAATGGGTGATTTCAATATTAGCTTATTGCAGTATGACACAAACAATGCAGTACATAACTTTATTGACATGCTATCTTCTCAATTTTATCCTACTATAAATAAACCTACAAGAGTTACTGAAAGTAGTGCAACTGTGATTGATAACATTTTAACTAATGACCTACATAACCATACTGCTGGTGTTTTAGTAACTGATATTAGTGATCACTTACCAGTATTTTTTCATTATTGAGAGTTTCAGAGAGAAGGTACAAGATGAACAAAGATATAATAGAAAACGTGATTTTAATAGTAACAATATTGAACATTTTGTAAATGAATTAAGTACAACTGATTGGTCATTTATTACATCAATGAACGACATTCGTGATATGTATAACTCTTTTTTAAATCATTTTTTGAAATTTATGATAAACATTTTCCACTCCAAGAGGTAAAGTTCGATGGAACAAAAATAAGTCACCTGGCTTTCAGATGGTATCTATAATTCAATAAGAAAAAAAACTATCTCTATAAAAAAATTCTACAAAATCCTACTTCTCAAAATAAATCTATTTATACTCTGTATAAAAAAAAGTTAAATCCCTTAATCAAATATCCAAGAAAAGCTATTTTAGCAAAATAAAATAACCAGGAAAAGGGTAATATCAAAGGAACTTGGATAAGGGTAAGCGAAAAGACAATCCCTCTCATTTTGTTCAAGATGGTGTAACGATTGACAATTATAACAAAGAAATTGCTGATGCATTTAATGAGTATTTTTTTACCGTTGGCTCTAGAATTGCAAGTAATCTACCATTACGTAATGCCACATTTGCATCTTTTCTTTGTGATCGACAGGTAAACTCTCTTTTTTTTAAAACCTATTCTGCAAAAGAAATTGTAGACATTCTTAACAAAATTCCTAATGGAAAGGCCCCTACCTTTGATGGCCTAAGTGCTTTTGTTATCAGACAGGCTTAGTATGTCTTAGCAAAGCCACTTGCTTGTATCTTTAATGAGTCTCTGGTTACAGGTGTTTTTCCAAATGGTCAAAAGATAGGAAAGGTCACACCAATATATAAGAGTGGCGACAAACATAATATTAGTAATGATAGACCTAAAACAGTATGATCTACATTCTCAAAAAGTGTTTGAAAAAAATAATATACTATCGTCTTATAACTTTTATAAATAAACATAACCTTTTGTCCGAATCGCAATTCGGATTCAGGGAAAAGCGATCAACTGAACTAGCAACGTCGTATGTTGTTCATAAGTTGCTCAAAGCCATAGATGATGGTACATTTTTATTGGTATTTTTTTTTACCTTTCCAAGGCTTTTGATACAGTTAATCGTGAAATCTTAATTTGTAAACTGGAAAAGTATGGTATTCGTGGTGTATAGCCTTAAACTGTTACTTATCTGAACAAAAAGAATTTGTTTCTTATAACTCTGTAAATTCAAACCAGCAATCTATCCACTGTGGTGTTCCCCAGGGCTCTACATTAGGTCCTCTACTATTTATTCTGTATATTTACGATATATCTTATACATCTGACATCATATCATTCTGCTTGTTTGCGGATAACACAAGTTTGGTGTAATATTGAACTTAAAAAAAATTAGTCACTTGGCTTTTAGCAAACAAATTGTGTATAAATCTGTTTAAAACTAACTATATGATATTTTCTTGAAGACAACAAAAGTAAACCCAATCTGTTCCACTTGTTTTAAATGATATAATTTAAATCGTGTCACGATTATCAAATTTCTTGGTGTGTCAATGGATGAACATCTTACATGGAAAAAACACATAAGTGATATCTAGAGCAAGATATCAAAAACGTTGGTATAATGAATCGCTTAAAGTTCCTATTCCAAGCAACATTTTAGTTATGCTTTATAATTCTTTAGTTCTCCCATTTTTTAACTTTTCAGTTCTAAACTGGGGTAGTTCCTCAGTAAATTTTGACAAACTTTTGTTGTTACAAAAGCGAGCTGTTCGCATCATTTCTAATGTTGGCCACCGTGATCATACTGCTAGCTTATTTGCAAATCTAAAACTGTTACGAATTAAAGACATTTACTACTTAAATTAAGGTAAATTTATGTACATGAATAATTCATTACCTGCTTGTTTTAGCTCATAGGCCTATTTTACGTTATCATCAAACATACATTCACACAATACTCGAAGTGCTTCTAGAAAAAATATCCATGTTTGTTACAGTCGAACGTCCTTGTTTAAAAACAGTCCTATTCAACGTGGTGTAAATTACTGGAACAGTCTTAGTAAAATCTTTGAAAAAGTCACCATCACAAACTATATGTGTCGAAAAACTGAAGAAAAAAAACAACTTCTTGATGCATATTTATAACTGTTATGTTTATAACTGTTATGTTAATTTATCTCGTAATGTTATCATGGGCGTCGCCAGGATTTTTTCAAGAGGGGGGCAAAAAAATTGCCAAAAAATGCTTGTATTTCTCAACACATTCTCGATTTATCAGTTTTAGAGGGGGGCAGGGACATTTCCCCCCCCCCCCAACTCATTACATTTACACCACTTTGTCTTCGCGCCTCTTTTTTTTTTTTTTTTTTCTTCCTTTTTTTTTGTTGCTTTTCAAGGGGGGGGGGGGCAAGTGCCCCCCCTTGCCCCCCCCCCTATCGACGCCCATGAATGTTATGTCTTAGTACCTGCATGCACACTCATTCGCTGTTGTAGTCCTTTGTCCTGTCTGTCCTGTTGTCTGTCCCTAGGTTAGGCTTCAAAAGCATTCTTGCCTCACCCAAACCTATATAAATGTTGTCCTTTGCGTAATAATTTGATATTAAACTTAACCTGTAATATTGTACGTGATGCAACACATCTGAACTAAAATTTGTCTTGACATTTTCAACAGAATCTCAATATTGGCTATGTTAGCAATACACCAGTTACTATGCAATGCTAATAATCTGAATTTAAAAAAATGATTAAATGTGTATCCGTGTATCAAATAAATGAAATAATGATCCAAAAGCAAGATTATCTTAAGTCAATTGAATACCGAATATAAGCATTTATACAGCACTCAGTGCTAACTACAATCATTGTCAGATCTAACTCCACGACTTTTTAAAATAAGTTTTTCGCAGGAATTTACCAACTGTTTCTGGTGTTTTTTTTAACCTATTATGTCAAGTTGTTTTTGAACATTTACTAGACAACCATTGAGCAGCTTCCAATACCTTGCATATAAAGAACACCTTCGACATAAGACTGTCCTTTCACCAAACAAAATGTAAATTTTTAAGGTAAACAAGATATCGTTTCAATAAAATGAGCTACATTTCATATTTATTTTGCAGAAGAATGCAAATATGCACGTGCCATCTTTCCACTAAGAATATTACTCCTTTACAGGTATTCCAAATATATAATGTCAATCATGTAATGCTGGAAAAATCTGTGTACAATACGTTAAATACAATAACATTGCTAGTATTGTTTGTTCCTTCTAGTTTTCTGGCGATACCGACAGTCGTTAATTTCCTGATAACTTCACCCCTTTTTTATATCAATGCTTTGTGCAGCTTGCAGGAATCTGTGCAGAAATTTCCAAATCAGCAAGTTATCATTTGCAATTAATTTGCACAGTACTTATCTAATGACAATTTTATTGACATAATCCAAGGGATCATGGGCGGTGGTCGCATGGCTCCCGCTGGTTTCTCCGTCACTACACGGGCCGTCAGCACCAAAGGCGGTCTCCTGCTGCATCGGGACCAGATAGCTGTCGTCTGTGGCACCAGGTTCTTCGCGATGTTCGATGGGTCGCTTACCAACCACACCCGCACTAGGAGCTGCTACGTAGTCACGGTCTCCCTCCAACAGTTCTTCCAGCTCGTTGGCAACTTGGACGAAGGTGCAACGCGATTTGGGGTTGTCCTGCCAGCAACGTACCATTATGCCGTAGCTGTATCAGTCAGCAAATGTAACAAGAATCATTAGATGCTGCATGCTTGATCGTATATCACATTGTGTTTGCACTTTTACTTGAAACCCCGACAATACACTTTCCATTATTACTGATTACTCGAGCACATTAACCCTACATTTTTGAGAAAAACTGTTCACGAGAATTGAGTTTCCCTTTTTTTATTTGAAACCCCAAATAAAACAATCTTCACTGTTTCTCACAACTAGAGAGTGTTATACCTACTTTCAATTATGTAAAACCTTTGAGAGTAAAATAGATGCATTAAGATCCCTTCACCTTCAGAAAAATTTGAGCAAAATATAAAAGAATCATGCATACTTTTACAGAAGTTAAAACGGCATTAGATGTGTTATTATTTAAAGGTAATGGTGACCGCTGTTTGACCATACATTTCTGGCGGGCAGTTCTGGGGAGCATCCATGCGTTGACCTCTCTTCAAGAAATCATACACATCTTGGTTGGGTATTCCTGGATACGGTTTGGCACCCGTACTGAAAATCTCCCACAGGAGCACACCATATGACCACTGTAGAAAACCAAAGAAGACAAATATTTGTCAATGTTAGAGACCATTCGAATGATAACTGTTCAATTGAGCTACCGAACAGTTGACATGAGCAAGCTGGAAAGAGTAGCCAAGATTAACGAAGATTGACCAAACTACATTGTATTTGAGTCTTTATTGAACTGTTTAATGAGATCTTGTGTCAAATTGAAATAAAAACGTTCATTACTAAGTTAACTTAGAAATCAGTTCGAGGTGGGCGTCTTAAGACGAAATACTCCAGCTAATGAGGGTCAGGCGCCTTGAAAACATACCCGATGTAAATTATCAATAAACTGACATTTCATGACCGGACATCGAAGTTCATGTAGTTTCTCTTCGAAGGATAGTTCCACAGAACGCAAAGAGATGTGTTTTGCTTTCTTTTCCGTTAAGATCTTTATCTAAACATCATCTAACATTAAATCAAAGATGGATTTAATTGCGTACCACGTCAGTCCTGGCGTTGTACACTCGACGTTCCATGGACTCGGGAGCCATCCATTTGATAGGCAGCTTAGCCTGGGCATCACCGCTTGTGTAGTAATCCGATTCGTGCATGTCACGGGATAGACCAAAATCCGCTATCTTCACCAGAAGATCACTGTTCACCCTAAAGAGGTTGTTAAAAGTTGATCTTACTTTGGGGTCACATCATTTAAGAATTGCAATGCCATTAATTCGAACTCTGGAGTTAATTCAATGAATGCATGTCCCTTGGTATCTCTGGTGCATTAAAATTATTTTCGATGAAACAGCTGACCGATTTCTCGTAACATTCATTTTGCTTTTACTCAAACACACATATAAAGACATGTGTAAAAGCCCCGGATGATATAGAAGAGAGGATACACTTACATGCAATTTCTGGCCGCAAGATCTCTGTGGACAAACTTGTGCTGAGCCAAGTAACTCATACCGAGTGCGGCATGTGAGGCAAACCTCATCAGCAGAGATGTCGCCAAGGTCTAAATTGAAAGTAAAAACCTCTAATGAATAAATAAATACCACACTCATAACAAAACACATGACATACTGTTTACGAAATGGGGCAGCATTTTGTTTAACAAATCTCGCGAGTGAACTATTAATTATCAAACGTAACAACATCTACCACAATCACCATTAAGTGAGTTCCAAACTCATGCCACTCATTACCAATTCTTTTATCAAACCTTCCTCTATTTATTATCGACATTGATCGCTCTTGACTACATACCTGTTTCTTCTTGACCAGATATGTCTTGAGGTCACCGTTTGCCATGAAGGGTATCACCACCAAGGGGTTTTTGACCGCGTCAAAGGTCAACCCCAGAAGCCCCAGAACGTTGACATGGTCGAAGGTTTTCATGATCAGGCCTTCCTCCAGGAACTTCACCACATTTTTCGGGTCCGAGGTGTCTATACATGCAAAAGTAAGGCATTTATATGTGATAACTGGCACGCCCAACTTACATTTGGCCAAGCTACAACACAAAAACAGGAACTTGTATTTCATCTTATTTTCATCACCAGAGAAAAGCAATAACCCAGAGACACTTTTTACAACCAACAATTCGCAATTCTAAATGAAAAGACTCTTTCGGCTCTTTCAGTGAAGACGCACATTGATTAATGTTTTTTCTCGGTAGCCAACACCTCTTCTGTAACTCTAATCAGTAACAAGTATAATCAAGACCAAAATGCATACCATTCTGAAATGGGCCCTTTTTTAACCGAGGAACAACTTTTCAATGCTTTGTTTTGAATCCATGATACTGTGATAGAAAACATCTCTCACAAATGGCCGACATTCTCATCACCAACCTTGCACTGTCTTTACGGCCACAATTTGATCTTCCCCTGACGTATCGTGTAGAACAGCTTTCAGTACACGCCCAAATGCACCTGTAAAATTTATTCAAGTGTTTTATACTCATCTTTGCTGATTATCTTTTGCTGGTACGAAGACTAGCCAGCTGGCAGACCAACCGACCTACCGATATACTAATAGACCCAGCGACTGGCCGAGTCCAAATAATTTCCTAAACGTCGAAACGTGAAAATGTGTTTCAATCACGCCAATAACGGTTTGCACACACAGCCCCTTTATGTAGGCCTCTCCTTCTCAGGTAAAATAACAGCTTACACTTTGAACTCATGAAATGTTCATAGTTTCGTCGTACAAAGTCACTACCTTGTCCGAGAGTTTCCCCAATTCCAGTTGGCTGAAGTCGATATGAATGTCGTCGGGAACGAAGCTGACCTTGTTGTTCAGGACAATGCGCTTTTGTTTTGGCTGAGCAGATTCCGACTGTTTCTGGGATCTATACCACCTGCGTCTCTTGACGTGGGAATCAATTTCTGAAGAAAAGAGATACAATGTCGCATGAACAGTAAATAACGTAATATAGTGGTAAGTTTACGAGCACGTTAGTTTACGAGCACGTTCAGGCTTACAAATCAACAGAAAAAACAACCTTTGCATGCTACACAAGATTCACAAGTTGTCTACAATGGTAAACACAATCTTGACAAAAAGAGTTCTATATTTATTTTTGTTTTTGTAGAGAATTTATTTCATCCTGTCTACAACTTGACAATTTACAGTTAAATGAGGAGCACGCCATTTGAATTATTTTGCCATGTATTTTACCATCAAAACCGGCTGCCCGTTAGCAGCCATCTTGAGAGTTTTTTTTAGAAGTAGAACATAATTTAATACGGAGATGTGCAGCTACGTACTGTTTATTTTTTTCTAAACTATCATAATTATGTTTGAAAATTAGGAATTGACAAGTAGCCGGTAGAGACAAGTGATGAAGGATGATTGGCTTTGAAATTTGAAAGGGTTTCGTGTTGTTTACCATTTCGCCGTCTTGCGATCAAGTGATTTTAACTTACAAGAGCATACTCATATAGACTGAGAAGATGCTCTCTCTTCACCGCAGTTTTGTGCACCTGTTTCTAGTACTCAGGAATGAAATATTCGAGTAAACTGAAGTCATCTCTTGCCACCAGCACTTACCGAGATGAATCGCCACTATCCTGCCCAATAGTCTTCTGTCGTGGGTACGCTTCCTTTGCAATTGTTTGCAATACACGAAGGTAGCAGCGAGCAGTATCGCCATGGAGAGTGGAATGACCAAACTCGGTACAAGTATAGCGACAAGTGGCACCGTACTGGGATAGACCAAATAGCCCAACCTAAATTTTAAGTTATTGTGGCGAACCTATGGAATAACACAAATGAAATAATAAACGATTCAACATAGACTTAAATAAACGATTAAACATATTAGACTTACCCAATTTGTTAATGTCGACGGTATATTATTCACTTTTGAAGGAACAATCAACAATGACAAAGTAGTGTAATTACGTTTTTGGGAGAACTGGCCGATTGTTGGGTGTTTTATAACCTTTCGGATTGAGTAATACAGATGTTCAATCCATCTGGGGAACAATGTTTAAACCTAGCTTAATAATATCCAATCCTAGATGAGCCGGTTTTCTTGGTCATTTTACAGCCAGAGGGGTCTTCTCTTCAGATTTCGGGAGTGTAATGACCGAATATTATGAAATTCTTTGACCGGAGAAATACTGATTCCAATTTTCTAATTGGTTTACTATTTATAATGTCAAAACAATTGAACAATTGTACTTAAAATTTTGTTGAAAAGCTTCAGAAAAACTTCATTTCTTTGAGATGTTTTTAAGGATAATATCAAATTAGCACAATAAAAAATTACCCGCAAGTCTGTAAGGGCGTACAGTGGCAGATCTATACGGGGAGGGTAAGGGGATAAACCTCCCCTTGGGGCCGCACAAGAAGGAAAAATCTCGAAAGAAAAGAACAATTGACAGCTACCCCCCCCCCCCAATTCAAAAATGGATCCGCCCCTTACTTACCCATACCACAGGCAGACCTTTCCCGGTATCTTCTCCCATGTAGTCACCGGCTGCTGGTGCCTCCTCGGGCAATTCACATACGAGTGCTGAATCAGCGATCAGGCTAACGGGACAGCTCTCTACGCCGATCTTCACGATGATTTCTCCCTCTGTGATGGCGCTGTCAATCCGCTCGCCCTGTCAAAGCATCCACAGGTAATTTCAGTTCAATTGTTTTAAAGGGAATTTATTGGTATCTGCATTGGTATATTTCGGAAGAGTTTAGTCTTTTCGGTTGTGACAATTAATGCTCAACACTTTTATTTATTTCTAAATACGAAGGTCATATGGCTGTATCACACGTAAGAACTACTGTCGTTTTTCATGTACATGTACTCTTACACACCGTGTGAGGACTGAGGTAAAAAAAAAACCTTAACTTTTATTTCACATCACATTTACATTTGCTTTTGCAATGACTGATATGAGTTTGATATGAAGTTTTGTAACTTAGCAAGAATTACCAAGATAGGCCTACTGTATGTTGGGAAGATCCACTTGATTCAGGAGGAAGAGATATCAACTTAAATTTATCTTGAGTCACTTATGAGAGGTGTTTCACTTTACAAAGCACTGTATAAGTGTGCTTCGTGCACGTTTACCGACAGGCCCCATATCTTTATACAGATAGAAAAAACAATGAAAGGATAGGCGCATAGAATAAGACACGCGTATACCAACCGTGATTGTCAAGGTTTCTCCTTCTTTGTCCTTCATACCACCTTCAAATTTGTTATACATTGGATCCTCAAAGTACTCCAAGCTGGCATCGTTATCCTGAGACCATGTCAACAGTTGAGTGACCCCATCCATGATGAAGCCAAAGGTCAAGTTGTCATTGCTTATGTTGAGGTCTGTTATGTTAGGAGACGGGCACCGCATCTCTGTTACAGATTCACCTTGACATTCCTGCAAAATAAAGTCCCACATTCTTAAGTTGACAATTCTGGTCAGCATTAGCTCCGGTTGACAAGGCACCCTTCTTTGTTTCTATTTTAAAACAGACACGTTTTTAATGATGCAATGGCTGTCACACTTCACGTAGTTGCCAGTTTCGTTAGTGGTTAGAGAAAAATAGAAGTTTTAAATAGTTTCCATATTATATGTATGTTGGAAGAGTGGAGCAAATAGATATATAGAGATTGTTGGTTAAGGGGAAGTTGAGCAGGGATTGGAAAGATATAAAATCCTTTATACAGATACCAAATTAGTGATCTTGCAGGGATGCACCTATTTTTCTACTCACTTAATTGTCCATCTCATTACCATAATTGTAGTTACTTGTTTACACATGTACATCCTTATATTTTTATATGTATTTTTTTTATTCGTGTGAAATAATAAATTAAATGAAAAACATTTCTCACCTCATTTGCATTGATGACAACGATTTGACGGTTTCTACTTGTGTGTAGAAAAGTGCCAGTAACCGTCACAATTCGACCACCCCTGACAATTAGAAACACGATGGCAAATACTAAAAATACATTTTATACACTGAAAGATATTGGCTGGTGTAACATCAATTTAAACAATGTAGAATTGCACGCACATGTTCACTTTCAGACATTTTCAGCAAATGACATTTTGAAGTTATTAATCAGCCATAACATTTCACTGTTCACTCAGTTAACAGTAGTCTTCAGAAATAAAAAGAGTTGTGTTAGTTTGCTTCTTAAACAGCCATGCTTAAACTTGGCTGCAAACTTGCTACTTGACAACGTATCTCACAATAGAAACATAACATTATTTTCACTAATACCAGGACCAAAAGTCCCTTTTTACCCTCATTTTGTTGTTTGTGTTTAAAAATATTTAAAACACAGACATTTTCATTGGACAATACAGACTGTAATACCAATTAGGTAGAAATAATGTGGTCGATACAAATTGAAGTATATACCAAAAAAGCTATACCAAAAAGCTATACAAAAATGCCCATCATGGTAAAAAAGATGAAGACAAAAAATCTAGAGACTCACGAAACGATGCTTTTCAGAGGAGACACCTCAGTAATGGTGGGATTCTCAGTGTACGTGTACATATCTGATGAGGTTCTCATGGCCCCATCGAAGGAGACTTTCACAATACCTTGATATCCAACTTGGTCAGCAGTGGTTGTGCATTCTAGCATGGATTCAACCGGTTTGCTTTACAATTTGGGAAAGAAACAAATCACTTGAGACAGAGGCCATGTAAAGTTTTCTGCAGAGACGTAAACGTGAATTCCTCTCTGTGTATGATGCTCCTTACTGAATGGATGTATAGCAATTATTGTGCAAGGTAATTGGAAATTGGACGAATTTAGAGCAATTCTACAGAACAGGATAAAGTAGAGTTTTATAATAAAATATATAACTAACAAAAGCCGTTCCACACAGGTGGGAAAGGAAAATTTAACAACTGAAGCTTGATAGAAGTCTAAATGATTTTGTTGAAACTAGAAATTGTACCAACGTTGGGGAGATCCCTCTTTTTCCTGAATTAATAATGATCGTACAAAACACTGTTATTTGTTTCCAATGAATGCTTCAATAAATGTCATTCCAGAGGGGAAAATAGGACTGTACGAAAGTGTCTAAGCGTTAAATTGGTATAGCGCCCCCTCGTGATTATGAATCTAGAAAATTCCAACGTGATTCCAATTTTAGTCACATTTGTCCTGAAATCATTCCGATAAACCTCGCAATTATTCCTTCAATCAAACGTAAAATCCCAGGTTAACCCAAATTTTCCTAATCATCTGTATGCCGTCCATCAGCGGCTGTGCGTAGAAGCTAAAAGTGAGTAGATTTATAGATGATTTTAAGGGATATTTTGTGGGGGGTTTTGTAATGGATAAATAACGTGGGTTTCATCACATGTTGTTTTATGGGTACATGTACGTACATTTTATTGATCTTTTTACTAAGGATTATGCCCTTATATTTAATCATTATTGCTGGTTAATTTAGTGTAATTTGGGGCTTATAATAGCTTATCTAATCCCTCAGTTTGTTAGATAATTTAGTTGATACTTGGGGAAATTATTACATGAATCTTAATCCATTTCCATGTGTTTTTCATGTCACCTCATAAATGTAGGTTCCAATATTTATTATTTGTATTAATTTGGTTTTCTTGTAGAACCACGGCCTACCACACGGCTTACACAACCTACATTGCAGTTCACGGCTCCCATACCACGGCTTAAAGTTTACATCAGTGAATTAACCTAATCAGCTCAGCTACTATCTTCATCATTGTAATTTGAGAACAATCAGTAATTAAAGGAGAGCAAATCAACCAATCATAGACTCGTCACCAGTCTCCTGTCCTGCACTTTCTTTCATGGTCCTTCGAGCCGGATTCGAACCAGCGACCTATGGATTTTACCACAATGTCTGAACACCATGCCGATGATGTTCTGGCCGAGGAGAACCGAGATGAGTCTGTTGCCTCAAAGCACTCCGGCAGCCAACGCACTAATAGCTCATCAAGTTCCCGTAACTCACACCTATCCGGTCTTAGTGATAAGGATGCAGCTAAGATGCGAACACTCAGAAGAAGAATTCGTCTTAACGAGCTGGAGTGCCAACTCCAGGAAGATCAGACCGCTGATGAGCAACTTCGTAAACTTGACGAGCAGGCCCGCTCTGCCCGACTTAAAGCTGAAGAAGTGGAGCGACAGGCATTGCGAGAGCGTGAGGCCCTCACCTCCAAATTATCCCGTCAACGCAGAGTGCGGATTGCTCGTCAAGAACTCTGCGAGGCTGAAGCCATCAGTGCCATGTTGAATAACGAACCATCACCATCACATCCTTTAATGGGTACAGACGATCAGTCACCCCCACAGGGTGCATCCTCAACTCCACAACCAGACATGCAGCAAACATTCACAAGTGTTTCATCCTCTGTTTGTCATGGTAATCCAAGTGCTCCACTTGTGACATCTCACCCAGACATTCAGCAAGCACCCCTATGTGTTTCCTCCTCTGTCTGTCATCCGACTCCATCTGGTGCCCCATCCTCGACCTCACCACCGGACATTCAGCAAACACTACCCTGTGTTTCGACCTCTGTTGGTCATGGTGCCCCAGTGAGTGCGACCTTACCCGCATCAGTGGTAACCAGTGATGTCACTCCAAGACAAGGCATTCCTACTCCAGGGACTTGTCCTCCGCACTTGCCATACCCAATGGCTTCTGTACCCTCCTTAACGGTGTCATCAGCACCAACCGTTATGGATCTCCTTGTTGCATCATCACACGGGATCCCTAAACCTACCCTGCCAAAGTTTTCTGATGGGAAGGAGAAAGAATTCGCCCTCCTCAAGCTGGCTTTGGTGAACCTCATTGATGTGCATCCCCATCTTTCCGAACAGTATAAGTTCCAAATACTGATCGACAGACTTGGTGGTCGAGCATTAAAGCTTGCCAAGTCATTCCTGTACGCCAGTCAACCGTACACCCAGGCCCTCCAAGCCCTCACTGGCAAGTATGGACAACCCAGACAACTTGTGCAGAGTGAAATTGGAGCCATCATGTCCACTCCTTCAATCAAGTATGGAGATACAGATGCATTTGATGACTTTTCTCTTGATGTTCTGTCACTCGTTGGAATGCTTCAAGCCTTGGAGGGCGCAGAGGGAGTTGAACTTCGATGTGGATCACATGTCGATCATCTGCTGGGAAAACTGGCCCCCTCTCACCGAAACAGTTTCATGGAGCATTGCCTGAAGAAGGGCATACTGGAACCAAACAGCAGCAAGACATACACCTTGCCCCAGTTTGCAGAGTGGCTTCGCACAAAGTCACAGTCCCAGAGCTTCGCAAGTAGAGCTGTATCAAGTCACATCTCAGCAGGCTCTAAACCAACCCACCAACAAAGCCAGCACCGAGCCCCGAAGAAGGAGGTTTCCACAACTGTGTTCATGGCCTCACCGAACACAAAGGACAAACCCAAGTTCAAGCCTAAACCATACTGTCCCTACTGCGACAACAAGGAGCACTTCCTCGGTGGCTGCCCAGAGATCAAGAAGTTGAGCACCGACCAGATCATCCAATGGATCAAAGACAAGGGACGTTGTTGGAAATGTGGGCGAACCCATAAGCCAGAGGACTGCACATTGAAAAAGCCTTGTCATACCTGCAAGGAAATCCACCTCACTGTACTACATGATGCCGCCAAGAAGGCAACCAGTCATGTGTATAGGCTCCAGACGTCCAACCAAGCAGTCTTCGTGGACAAACCAACTCGCCCCCACAACGTCATGCTCAAGATTCTCCCAGTTACCCTTCATGGTCCAGGGGGATCCATCGACACATACGCCATACTGGATGACGGTTCTGAAAGAACCATGCTACTCCAGTCAGCAGCTGTCAGACTCAAGCTTCATGGCAACCCAGAGACTATGTTGCTCAGGACTGTTCGTGAAGACATTGTTGAATGTCAAGGCCAGTCTTGTACCTTCCAGATGTCAGCTAGAGACAAACCTGAAGTGATGTACACTGTAACTGGAGCCTTCTCGGCCAGTAACTTGTGCCTGTCCCAGTACACATATCCTGTTGAAGATCTGCAACACCGCTACTCCCATCTCCGTCACCTTCAGTTGCCCGTAATCAATAATGCTTCTCCACAGGTCCTCATTGGATCTGATCAGGCGGATCTCATCGTGGCAAGACATCCAATCAAGTCTGGCACACGTGGAGCTCCAGTTGCCATCAACACTAAGCTGGGTTGGACCCTCCAGGGACCTGCTGGAAACCAGAAGCAGCTGAAAGAACAGAAGGTTTTCAAAACTTCTCTGTTTCCACAAACTACCGACATCATGCAGCACGTGGAGAGGTTGTGGCAGGCTGATGTGCTACCGTACCTGAATGACAAGCAAGCTACCCGCTCTAAGCATGATCAGCAGGCAGTCCAGATGCTTGAGACCTCAACTCAACGCGTTGAAGTCAACGGGATACGGCGCTACGCCACACCGCTCCTGAGACAAAGGGACGAGACGAAATTCCATGCCCCAAAAGAGGCAGTGCTACCGACTCTGAAGGGGACCGAGAAGAGACTCGACAAATACCCACAGCTTGCTCAGAAACACAACGAGCTAATCGCCAAGTTGGTCGATGCGGGTCACGTGAGGATCTTGCCAAAGGATGAAGCAGACAAGTCCGAAGAATCCTGGTTCATCCCACACCATACCGTATACCACAACGGAAAGTATCGACTAGTATTCAACTGCTCCTTCCGGTACAACAACCAGATCCTTAATGAGCACCTTCTGCCAGGGCCAACACTTGGTGCATCACTCATAGGTGTACTACTCCGCTTCAGACAACACGCAGTAGCGATCTCAGGAGACATCAAAGCGATGTTTCATCAAGTACGCCTCCTACCAGAAGACCGATGCCTCTTCCGATTCCTGTGGCGCAACCTACAAGTCGACAAAGAGCCAGACATCTACGAATGGCAGGTGCTTCCCTTTGGCTCGACTTGTAGTCCCTGCTGTGCTACCTATGCTCTGAGAAAGCACGCCTTTGACCATGAGAAGGACTATCCAGAAGTTGCAAAGGCAGTCGACAAGTCCTTCTACGTTGACAACTGCTTGCAGAGTCTACCGGTCGAGACAGATGCCAAAGCCCTTGTCCAGAAGATGCGAAACCTGCTTTCTGACGGTGGGTTTGAAATACGACAGTGGGCCAGCAACGTTCCTGCTGTAGTAGAAGATCTCCCACCAGATGCCCGTTCTGATGGCTGTGAGCTGTGGTTAACCTTCAGGGAGACCAATTCCACTGAAGGCACACTTGGAATGTTGTGGGAGTGCAGTTCAGATGCCCTGCTGTACCGCCACAGACCCATCAGCTATGACTGCCTCAACATGAGGAATATGTATAAGATCCTCGCGAGCCAGTACGACCCTATAGGGTACCTAACCCCATTTACAGCCCGAGCGAGAGTCATTGTCCAAGACCTGTGGAAGACGAAGCGCAACTGGGATGATCCACTTGAGCCGGGTGATATCAGAGACCAGTGGCAAGCCTGGGAGAGTGAACTTCCCCACCTGACTGGAGTGAAGCTTAACAGATGCTACACACCACCAAATGTCAAGACAGAGGCTGCCCATCGCCAACTTCACATTTTCTGTGATGCATCGGAGAGAGTTTACGGAGCTGTGGCTTACATCCGAACAGAAGATGAAGATCACAACGCCCATGTTAGCTTCATCATGGCCAGGTCCCGTGTTGCCCCCAAACGGCAACTCTCAATGCCTCGTCTAGAGCTCTCCGCAGCCTTAGCCGGTGCCCAATTAGTGGATCTTGTCCAGAAAGAGTTGACTCTCCCTCTTGATGGAGTCATCCTGTGGAGTGACTCGACTACTGTGCTCACCTGGCTGCAATCAGAATCCTGCCGGTATAAAGTGTTCGTTGGCACCCGTGTCGCAGAAATACAGACCCTGACCGATGTTGACAAGTGGCGGTATGTCGACACCAAGAACAACCCCGCAGATGACCTTACGAGAGGCAAAACCCTGGTTGACCTCAGCCAAGCCAACAGGTGGAGAGATGGTCCTTCTTTCCTCCGGTTGTCTCCCGACACATGGCCAGCTCACCCGTCTACACAGACAGAAGACCCATCTGAGTTCAAGAAGTCAACCTTCTGTGGTGCTGTGGTCGTCATTCAGCCCAACTTACCTGATCCATCCGAACATGACACCTGGAGTGACCTTGTTGCAGCTACCATGCAGCATCTTCATGGGGCGGCCGAGGATGCTGATCCTACCAAGTTGGTTGAACAACGGGTAGAAGCCGAGATGTTTCTTTATCAGCGTGCTCAACAAGATTCCTTCCCAGAGGAGATTGCTTGCATCCAAGCAGGCAAAGAGCTCCCCCGTGGTAGCAGACTCCTGCAGCTCGCTCCAGAGTATGACAAATCTTGCGGCCTCATCCGAGTGGGAGGACGTCTTCGTCGTACCCAAGATCTACCCAAAGACACCAAGCATCCCATCGTGATGAATCCAGCTCATCCCATAACAAGGCTTATCATCCGTGACTACGATGAGAAGTTGCTCCACTACGGACCTGAGCGCATCCTGGCAGAGATCCGACGTAAGTTTTGGATACTACGCGGAAGAGAAGCAATCCGAAAGCATCAACGCCAGTGCTTCGAATGCCAGAAGTGGAGAGCTAGCCCTCAAGTTCCGAAGATGGGAGATTTGCCTCCAGCACGCCTCCGCCTCTTCAAGCCTCCCTTCTACTCAACAGGGGTAGACTGTTTCGGTCCAATGACGTGCAAGATTGGGAGAAGGAGCGAGAAGCGTTGGGGGATCATATTTAAATGTATGACCACCAGGGCCATTCACCTTGACCTACTAGACAGCCTCGATACTGACGCGTTCTTGATGGCCTTTAGACGGTTCATCTCCAGAAGAGGGAAACCATTCGAGATCCTGTGCGACTGTGGCACTAATTTCAAAGGAGGTGATAATGAGCTACGGGACGCCTTTGCTGCCATGGATCCCATCTTACAGCAGGAGCTTGCCAAGCACCAGGTCAAGTTTGTGTTTAACCCTCCGAAGGCTCCACACTTTGGAGGAACCTGGGAACGGGAGATCAAGTCCGTGAAAGATGGCCTGAGAGTTGCCCTGAATGAGCAGTCCGTCCCTGAGTCAGTACTTCGCACAGTGCTCATTGAAGTCGAGGGAATCTTAAATTCCAAGCCTCTGGGGTATGTCTCATCTAATGTTGCAGATCCCGATCCAGTCACTCCAAACCTTCTGCTGATGGGGCGGCATGATGCGACTCTCCCTCAGGTTGTCTATTCTGCAAGGGATCTACTTGGCAGACGACGCTGGAAGCACAGCCAGGTCCTCGCTGATCACTTTTGGTCCGGGTTCGTCAAATCCTACTTGCCGACTCTCCAGGAGCGCCAGAAGTGGCATACCGACCGTCCGAACCTGACCACCAATGATGTCGTTATGATTGTCGACCCAGCACTCAGCAGAGCTTAGTGGCCCATCGGAAGAGTTGCAGAGACCTTTCCGGGTTCCGACGGTCGTGTCCGCACTGCCAGCGTGAGCGTTCGAGGTAAAACCTACACTCGCCCAGTGGCACGACTGATTAGGCTTCCGGAGGTCAGTGACGACAACCTACCCGATGGTGAACCCGACAACACCTAAACTGTTAACTTGTATCAATACTCTTGTGATTCTTAGGGACACTTTCAGATTTAGTAAATTTTATGCTCAAATTTAGGGGCGGCTGTACGAAAGTGTCTAAGCGTTAAATTGGTATAGCGCCCCCTCGTGATTATGAATCTAGAAAATTCCAACGTGATTCCAATTTTAGTCACATTTGTCCTGAAATCATTCCGATAAACCTCGCAATTATTCCTTCAATCAAACGTAAAATCCCAGGTTAACCCAAATTTTCCTAATCATCTGTATGCCGTCCATCAGCGGCTGTGCGTAGAAGCTAAAAGTGAGTAGATTTATAGATGATTTTAAGGGATATTTTGTGGGGGGTTTTGTAATGGATAAATAACGTGGGTTTCATCACATGTTGTTTTATGGGTACATGTACGTACATTTTATTGATCTTTTTACTAAGGATTATGCCCTTATATTTAATCATTATTGCTGGTTAATTTAGTGTAATTTGGGGCTTATAATAGCTTATCTAATCCCTCAGTTTGTTAGATAATTTAGTTGATACTTGGGGAAATTATTACATGAATCTTAATCCATTTCCATGTGTTTTTCATGTCACCTCATAAATGTAGGTTCCAATATTTATTATTTGTATTAATTTGGTTTTCTTGTAGAACCACGGCCTACCACACGGCTTACACAACCTACATTGCAGTTCACGGCTCCCATACCACGGCTTAAAGTTTACATCAGTGAATTAACCTAATCAGCTCAGCTACTATCTTCATCATTGTAATTTGAGAACAATCAGTAATTAAAGGAGAGCAAATCAACCAATCATAGACTCGTCACCAGTCTCCTGTCCTGCACTTTCTTTCAAGGACAATGCTCCGATTTTTGCCGTATGGGCAACAATTTGAATAATCACGTGTATCAGGAGAGAGACAAAATACCCTTTTATGTTGCAAGGATTGTCGCCGATGAACGCTTCAATATCGCGTCCTGTGTTGAGGGCTGTACCATTCACACTTACTACCGTCCCACCGTCTTCTGGGCCAAGGCGGGGTTGGACATGTGTAATAGCTGGGTCCTGTTAACAAAATACATCTGATGAAAACATTTCTAGAACTGTGTTTGTCTCTCACACAATTTGCACAACAAGTATATTGTTTTTATATTATATTATTGTTGAAGTAAGTATTTGCTAGATAATCGTGCATAGAATACTCAAGTATTATTGATTTTAAGTATTTTGACGTTTCAAACGTAAATCTGAGATCCGTTTGAGGAAATTCACTCAAATGCCTGGGATTTTTCCAAATATCCTCAACTCAAACATACAATTTTTGGTGTAAAATTATCAACTAATTCAGCTAAAGTATATCTTATCATTGCTCCAGCTGACATAATGCGGTGCCGCACTGCTAAAAAAAAGAACATTCGTGAACAGACCTCTTTCGTGATCATACATTCCGTGATTACTATTTCAGTGTAAAAAAAATTCTTGGACGCTTGTTCATTTTCCAAGCAGGTTCCTCATACAGTGGCTGAGTCAGTGTAAACGAGTGCGTGCAGGACGTGACTTACTTTGAAGTTAAAGTTGACTGTTCCTGAGCTCCGTTGCATTGTACCATCTGCACCCGTGACTGTCAAAGTAACCAACTCGGCTCCTTCACTTTCTGCTCTCGTTCTGCAGCTGACACTGAAACGTAATGTAATATGTGACATTAAGAAAAGGAGGTTGAGCAAACCTCCTCAACCTCATCCACTCTGGAACTAATACATGGCCTATTAAGTAAATAACATATTTGTTAAGCACAAAATGTCTCCTTTTAGATTTAACAATGTTCCACAGCACGGCACACATGACTGTGAATTGAGAATTCTAAAGGGAAAATGATTAGAAATCCAAACAATTTTTATGCACAGCGTACCGCTTCGCCTGTAAACGATGGAAAAAAGTATTATAACTGACAGAGAACAAAATACTTCCGTTAGAAAGTTTTTTTTTTAATATGTTAACAAAAAGACGAAAAACTGAATAGATGGCCATTAGTCAATGCTTGGATAAAAAGGTAATGTCCTTACATGCAGTATGATTTGACCCTACCTTGCTCCGAGTTGGTAGTCTGAGCTTAATCCAGCCAGATCACATGGTTGATCGCCAACCATCACCCTCACAACATCACTCGATCTCCGACCGATATCAGTTCCCATCACATCTATGACTGTGTTGCCTTCAATGGGCCCAGTCAAGGGAAATACCTAATACGTGATTTGGAAACAATAATACCATAACGCACAAACGCAAGTACATGTATCATGAAACAATGTATTTCAATACAACACATTTTTAGTAGATGCTCTTGAGAGACAAATTGTTCAGCTTGGTGGCTCATATGCAGTCATCCATATAAGCATACTTTATAATTATGATAGGTCCAACACCTTTGCTTATGCAATCATAACAATTTTTCCATCGTGCACATAACAACATTTTCCTCTTTGTCTTTCTGTCACAAAGGCAGGCAGGTCAAATGGATACAAGGTGTTCCTCATTTGGAGGCATTAATCTTTGATACTTTGTGATAACTATGTATAATTACAAACATGTTGACAAGTAGCCTCACCTGGAATATTTAAGCGAATAATATTCAACTGGAGAGTTGTATAACGTACCTCACTCAGAACTGGATCAGGGCAGTTCAATCTGTTATCCAAAGTCACCCTATTTTCACTGCAAATTTCATTCAGTTTGCAAACACCAGACTCGCTCGGCATGGCACCACACCAAACACATTTGAGCGCTGGGCGGGCTGTAACACAACGGCTGCAGTCTGGCTTCTGGACTTCACACTTGTACAATGTTACTATTTGATATGAGCAGAATACAAGATAATCTCATGTCTTTCAGCTCAATATTTTAAAGAACAACCTCCAACCGAAAAGTGTTATAACAAACGATGAAAAGCATATGAAGAGTATATTTTTAAAACGCGATATACACATTTAAAAAAAAAAAAAAGTAAAAAGTTTGCACGGTTCTGAACTTTAAAGAATATTAAACAAACATCATTTTCGTGTGATTGTATTCTTAAATTCGATACTGAATTCGGGCAGCCAGGAGTGGGTGTGATTCTAAAAGGTAACAAAAGGACGTTTATCACGTTTTGGGGATAAAGTCTTCATACCTAACCATTTTAGACTGACTGACTCCTTAATCAGTCCTTATTCCTTACCGTCAAATCCATGTATGTCATCTAGGATGTGCGCAAAACCGTTTGTGTCAGACCATAAAACAGACAGTCTCACTTCCAGCTCTGGTTCATCATTGGAGAGGTATGTGTACTGTTAAAGGCAAGCATGCAAACAACGTTACCTTTTAATACCTGAAGCTAAAAACAACAACATTGTGTCCGGCCAATATACAAAATAAGTGAGGCCTTTCATTCTTATTAAAAAAAACTTTAGCAATCCAAGGCAAAAAAAAGTTGGATTTTAACTTACAGCCTTAGCTTGGCATGTGATCCTAATTCCATTGCGTTCTGCATTAACAACCTGTGGCGATCCCTCAACATCTAAGCTGCACTGATAGCTAGAAATCTGCACATGGAAAACAAAGGGTGTAACGACCAATGTATTTTTTGCAAGGTTAAGTGAGTCAGGAAAGAGAATTACAAACTAAGATTTACTTTGCAGTATTTCCTTTCATGGACTCGGTAAAAGGTCTTTGAAGTAAACAGCTTTATTTGAAAGTTCAACACTTGACAATGCGATGCAATGTTTATATTGCATGCCATCAAATGGTAATTCAAGAACAGCTTATCATTCAAATATTAACCTCTATCTAAGCACACGCAATGTTAATGCTTATGATATTATATAGCGTGCACAAAGCATTTGAAACTGCACCGACTACACTGGCCTCAAGTTTACATAGGCGGTCCTAAAAGTATAGTTATTATACAGCTAATGATAACTTTGCAATTCGCTTTGCATTTAATTCATTTAATTTAATGTCATAAAGAAGGTCAGATATCTAGAACAATAGCATTTAGCAAACTATATCGGACAGTAATCCAAGAGGAATTGTATTTTCTTCTCGGGGATAAATTAAGCAAGGTTGCAAGGTTGGTATGAAAAATGTCACTCTCAGGCATTGACAATGGACTTTCTGATAGACGGGGGTTATCAGATTACAGATTGTCATTGTGTTTGTTGTGGGTTTTTTTCCAGACATTAATAAACAAACCCCAGCTTCGTCTGGCAGGTTTGTAGTAATGACAGTGATGTTCCTCATAATGGTATTAGGAAGCAGAACTTCAGCAGTCTGGTTCAGCAGCTGAGGGCAAATCGCAGGTCCTTTGCCTGCAGAGGCAGTTGGATTCTGTGGATAAACGCCAACAAACAACAAAGTATATGTCATTGCCTCCCCAAAATGCACATTTGAAACTTATGATCAACTGACATCCGATAGAAATGGGCTAATTTCCAAAGTACTTCAATGGGTGCTTAATGGGAGGCCATATCCATTACAATAATCGGTGCCATTTTCATTAAGTAATGCGCAAAATAAGTATTTTACTGAAAAGTCAACCTAACTATAGGACTCTATACAATCAAGATATTTCAGTACAATAATACTTTTTAAACAATTCAAAATATGTCTTGGTTTGGCTCGTATATTCTTGTTCTCACGTTATTTCCAGTAATGATGATTTCATTAGCACGTGTGCATGTGGAGCTATCATGAGTACATCTGTTCTCAAACACGCACCAATCGCAGGCCCAGCGACTACCAACGCAGGATACACATCTGCGTAAACAACCAAAGGGAATTGCGTATATTCTAAGATAAAACAAATATCATCAGGCAGACGTTCTAGGGGAAAAAACATGCATTTGAACAACCTAAAGGAAAAGACATTGAATTTCAAATACAACTAATTAATAGGATATATGAGCTCGAATACTCACGAAGTGTGAGTTGAACACTCGTAGAAGTAGAAGTCGGTGTCTATGAATTGAACTGAAGTTTCAGATGACTCAACACTCGAAACTACTCTTACTGCATCATCTAAGCAATAAATGAGAACAAATCTCTGCATTAATTAGTTGAAACAGACAATTACAAATATATTTATTGTGGGTACCAAATGCAGAAATCATTTTCATGCTGACAGGAAGCATGTCGGTGTACCATATTTTACTGCCTATGAACACATTCTCTAAGTTGATATCCTAATGATTAGCCCAATAATGCGATTGAATGAAAAACGACACGCTTGTTCACAAACATCATTTCATTCTAGTTTGGACAAGAAGGAAATTACAAGTCGACTTTTTGAATGTTTGCTCTGTACATTTTTGCCCTGAATAAATTCATATGGGTGTCTCTTATTGCACTTGCCTCCTTGTGGAATGGTAGGTATCCCATCACTAGGAGGTGACGTACACTCTAGTACTTCACCATTCTTCGTAGCTGGAGATTCAAATGACCCGAAATAACATTCATAACTCTGGCCTGTCCCTAGATCAGGTAACTGCTGCACAGTCAGGGTGATCTAAAAGTGAAAGTAAAAAATATATATTAAATACTAATATTTATTTCATTAATATTCAATGACTCCAATAGTTATCTCCATTAGTCAGGGATACTGTAAACAAAGTTAAAATAAATTTAGTGAGCTCCAAATACCTGAGAATGAGTGACAGGTATAGTACATGAAGCACAACATTCTGAATCATTCCGACACATGGTGACATTTTACAGTTGTTAACTGATGTGATGTGGGATATGACGTTTTGAGCACCCTCGGGGACGCATAGCACCCTCGGCTTCGCCTCGGGCGCTATGCGTCCCTCATATCCCACATCACATCAGTCAACAACTGTTTTGTCATACCTCTGTCTTGATGATGTGTTTTGCTTTTTTTAAGGGAAATTAAGGGTGGCAAACTGAAGGAATCTTTGAAAAATTTTCTTTCAACATATATAGATGTAGGGGCATTAAAACAAGCTTAAGTTCAGGGAAATTTGGGGTAAAGGTTTTAAAAGTTTAATAAAAAAAAATCTTCTGTCCAGTTCTTTCACAGGAAGTGTCTCGAAACGAGTGTCCCTGCCCGTTTCTTCGCAGAATTCTCGTACAACGCGGACTGCGTAGTCGGTACAACGTTTGGTGTTTGATGAGTCTTGTTCAAAAGCTTAATCTTTTATTTGTTGTTTGCAGCGGCTCAAAAACCTTTTTGGGGCGGAGAATCTGTGCCTCCGGGCTCAGCTGACATGTTGAGGCTGATGAGGATCGTATACGAAAAAAACTAACTGTGTCAGCTCTGCATTTCCGAAGTTCTGAAGGCCTATAGGCACCGTTACTAGAGTCAGTCAAAACGTAAACATAATCTTAATGCCGCTCGTCGCTGGCCGCCAAATTAAAGTAAATATCGTCTGCAAATGCACTGCTCCCTCACTGCTATACATTATATTGTAGAACGTGAAAGTACTGCGGGGTACCAGTGAGTACAAGTATAGTCTGGTTTAAACGCGGTCCGCGCATAATGGTTTGGACTGTGGGGCGGGGACTAGTCTACATGCATGTGATATCACAATGTGATATACAACGGGAGTGTGCCATGCATATTTATCGCCCGGTCAGGTGATCGTCCTGGGCCAAAGAAAATACAGTATAAAGACACAGGTATGACAAATTTTCTTAGAGAGTCACAAATTTCAAAACATAAAAAAAAAATTTGACATCAAATAAACAGGTCTCTGTACAAAGCCAAAATTTCATTAAGAATACAGAAAAATCAATACGAAATTTACTCATCACAATTAAGGAGGCACAATAATTAAGCCTCATATGATTGAACAATAGGCGTCGCTTGAAGTATACATGTTTAGGAGTCGCATAGACGAAAAATATTTCCGCATACCTATAGGCCTATCTGGATATGTCCATAACAAATCTGCACTTTGAAGAAAGTGTTTATTTTTAAAGTATGTTTCAATTTTGTTCCTATGAAGATGTGAGTAAGATGTAATCTCAATACATCTGGCTCTAGCTCACCTGTTGCTCAGTGACTGTTATTGGTAGGTTATCATAGGGCGCTACATCGGTAATATGAATGCACTGAGCAGCATTGTAGGCCAACCATCGAGTAGATACATCTGGTGATGGACAGTCGTAATATCTCGTACATCTAAAACATAATTCAATGTTATGATAAGGAAAGTAAAAACCAAAACGGAAAAACATGCAATGCTTTACTTTCAAGATTTCATTGAGAAACATCGTTTCTTTCACGTACACATAACATCGGACAACCATGTAATTAATGAATAGGCTCCTTGAACTTTATTAATCATATACAGTGTAAATAAAAAGGAAGTTCTTTCACTGACACAATCAACTAGACTGACCAGCTGTGGGAACTCTCCAAATAAATTACTTCCATTCCAGAGTGTACAACTTATATACATGAAACCTAATTGTTGCACCTCGTCTGAGTGTAATAGACTACCGTTCTTACAACTTCTCAAACGACCCACTCACACACTTTGGAGACATCCCGTGTGACTTACCTTCGTTCCAGAGTGCACCATCCACAATATGGGTCTCCATCATTCCCTGCATCAGTCCCAATACACGTTTCGCATGTAGTGTATTGGCCACAATTCTCAACGCGAAGCTTCACCAACTAAAGTGTAAAACATATTGTAACTTCTTTTTACAATCTTAAAAAGTATTAATTTCATCATCAGGAAAGTTTTTTTCTTAAAATCTTGAATCTGGTTTTTAGTTTACGAAGCAAAGGAACAATGTTTATTGTGTGCATTTGGCCAAATTTGCTATGCTTTTCGTTGTTATAAATAATACTCAAAGCACCGAATGGTTTCTGTGGCTTTTCATAAATGACTGGAAATCTGGTTGCTGTTAAAAAAACACATTTGCTTGTCAGCTTAGCTTTTGACTTTTCTGTTGACAAATCTGTCAACTTTCTGCTAATGCGAAGCCCATGAGGGACGCTAAATCAAGCAGAGAAAGTTATTATTCAGTTAAAAGCATTCCTCCTCGGCAGGTTAGGTATGCGCTTACCTTTTGTTCTGTCAAGAGAAATATTACACCTGTTGATTCATTAACCTTGACATCTGGCAGAACAGGACTGGTGTCAACGCTAATGCGTTCATAAAGTCGGCTGGTAGTGTTACTTTCCACATGAACCTAAAGACAAGATGCATAATTATGACACATATATATTACTTAAACAATCTGTTAACACCGACATTGTACATAGAGAGTTAAGTTTTGACATGGACATGGTCAACCCGGCATGCATTGCTTGCCTTGAGTGTTTGTTCATGCAAGCCAATTTATTAAGAGAAACCAAAACTAGCTAATTGTTTCTCATTTAAAAAAAAAAATCAATGCGTCGTGATAGTTACCAAAGTCTCGAGTGCAAGGGGTGTGAACGAAATGGTTTGAAATAAAACTTTTGCTACACATTCCAATTTAGGCTCTACGACGACTTCAGCCACACATTTGAATCGATTTGGGATAATTTACCTTGAGTAGATGCCCCCTCGATGTCCCGATTAAAGCGATAGTGTGGTTGACTTCTACTGTGGTTATTATGGATGACATGAGAGTACCAGGCAGCTCTAGAATTGCCGTGGATGGAACGGGGGCTATGCCCTTGGCGTACTTGAATAGTGGCTTATTACTATCACTGGTCGTGGGTATGCAGAGATAGCGATCCAGAATGTCAATCTATAACGAAAGTAGAAAGAAGAAACATGATTAAAACATCACTCGGGAGGTAACACACTGAGTATACAGTGTTAAAAAATGTCGGTGAAGGGCAAAACCTAATTTGATTTATATCACCCCGACGCAAAATTCCATCTTATAATAGTTTATGCGGTACCCGCTGCTATGTACATCAGATTCGAACCGGCCAACCGATCCCGTTAGCTTGGTGGTCGAGTGGTAAGACATCTGCGCTAGAAAGCAGGAGGCCGTGGGTTCGAGTCCCACCCGAGTGATTTTTTTCTAACTTTCACTCGGGAGGTAACACACTGAGTATACAGTGTTAAAAAATGTCGGTGAAGGGCAAAACCTAATTTGATTTTTATCACCCCGACGCAAAATTCCATCTTATAATAGTTTATGCGGTGCCCGCTGCTATGTACATCAGATTCGAACCGGCCAACCGATCCCGTTAGCTTGGTGGTCGAGTGGTAAGACATCTGCACTAGAAAGCAGGAGGTCGTGGGTTCGAGTCCCACCCGAGTGATTTTTTTCTAACTTTTTTTCTAACTTTCACTCGGGAGGTAACACACTGAGTATACAGTGTTAAAAAATGTCGGTGAAGGGCAAAACCTAATTTGATTTATATCACCCCGACGCAAAATTCCATCTTATAATGATTAAAACAGTTAAAGCAATATCGTGGTTCAGCAGTGGCAATTATCAAGACACATGAATCCAGGAAGTTGAAGGAAAGTCGTTGATGAAACGAGAATTCAATTCAATTTAATTTAAGGGTTTTATTATCGATTCGTCGCATCCCAAAGGCTGAATTGTGAGTGATTTACAATAAAGTACAAATATAACAAAACATTTGAAATACTTCATACAAAAAAATGAATCGTCATAACAAATTAATAGCTATCAATTAGGAATAAAATGAATAAGATGTCAAATAGAATAGCAATATAAGGACACACATAAAGAATATATATTTTTATCTTCTAAGTTAACAATAAAGCAACATTCGTACTGATGAAATGACGGTTGTTAATAAAATAGTCTAAGCTCAATTTAAAAGAGAAATTTTGATTTCTATGTTATTATAACAAATTATCATGCCCAAATTCACGCATTAACAATCCTATATCAGAAAAAAAAAAGAATGAATGCTATAGCGTGTTTATACAACCACACTGATACATCAGCCAGGGGACTACAAAGAAAGTTGCCTTATTTTTACCATCATATGGTTCAATTACCTATAGTTTGCACAATTATTGCAGAAAGAAACAGTTTGAACCGTTCAGATGAAATAAAGTGGAGAAGCGGGACAGAGGGCTTGACTTTACACGACTGGTTTGCTACAGAGTAACAGACATCAAGAGCAGAATAGCATTGGCAAAGAAGCGCACATTGCAGTGGACCTGGTCCCCATATGGAAAGATAGAGGCGTCGATACATTGCCAAACTGTTACATTTTATACTATTTTGCAGTTTTTCCTCTTCGCTATTCTATATTCACTCGTTGTTGTGAAATAGCAGCATATTTTGCACGTATATAGGGTGAGTTAATAAAAACCGAAACCCAAATGTTGGGACCATTGTTTTATATGCAAACCCAATTCATAAGCTTTCTTTTAGTACTAGAATCATTCAAATCACCTATGTATTTTTTAAGTGATGGAATTTTAAACACAACCAGCGTTTTAAAGTTCTGTCCACGGATCACAAAAAGGTAAGTGTTGTTTCAGCAAAACGAAAACGAATCACGTAAGAATGTGTGTGAGTTGTTTTCGTTTTGCTGAAAGAGTGCACACTTTTTTTGTGATCCGTGGACAGAACTTTAAAACGGTGGTTGTGTTTAAAATTCCGTAGATTGAAAAGTACTTAAGTGATTTGAATGATTCTTGTATTAAACAAAAGCTTATGAATTGGACTTTCATAATCAGAAAGTGTTTAGTTGTGACGTCATACCATAACACTAACGCTTAATCACTTGTGTGCAGTGACCGGGCGGAGCTTACGAGCTCCGTGGGCTGCTACGCGTACGTGATTGGCCAATAACTCCCATAGGTTAAGCGCACCATAGGGTTAGTGCATGCACGTGGTTTGTAGACATGACGTAGCGTCTGGTACATGTATATAAATGCGTGCCTGGGGAGCGCGCGTGGTTTTAGTTCTGCTTTCAGACCAGGTTTGGGTTCTAGCGGTTTAGTTGTTGGGACTGATTGATGCAGTTGTGGTGATCGTTGTTAGGTGAGAAACTATAGCTGGTTGAGTGTATAGTTTTGGGGCTCAGCTGTCTTCGGTGTTGAGTGCCGGGTGTAGCTGCAACAGCGGGCAGAGAAGTAGGTAAATTACTTGTACTCTGCGTGTGTAATTGCTTAGGCGATTTGTGTACAAAGTCGGTGTAGCTGTACTGGGGTTGCGCTGCTATTTGTAGCTGAATTCTGGCTTACACGCACGGCGTAGCGGGTACCCTGCTATAGGACTGTATACATTGCTAAGCGGCTGTTGTGCACTTGTGATGCTGTGATATTGCTAACTTAGCGATTTATTACTAGAGCTGTGCATAGTTGCTCATTGCTGCCATTGTTGTCTAGTGCTTAATGCTGTGTGCATTGTTGCATAGGCTAGCAGCGGGCTATCTCCAGTAACTAAGGACCCTGTTAATAAAACAACCCACCGAATCACATCCTAATTGTTGTACTTTATTATTGTTGAATAAATTACGATCATTGTTGTTTGAGATTACCGACAATTCTGCTTTCAGTGTTTATGTTTACAGGATTATTGTGCAATTAATTAACGGAGATAAATAATCAACACTCATTCATAATCGGGCGGTAGATTTCCACCAAAACGGACCTTCACCCTTAGCCTTGAAGATCGCTCTGAGTGATCTCTCGTCTAGGGAAGAGCCTTGGTTTGGGAAGATTGTCTTCACCCCACTAGGAGTTAGACTTATCCTAACAGACTTCGGTTGGCCCGGGGGTTCCCACCACAAATGGTGTCAGAAGTGGGATGATTGTGAATGATTAAGTTGATTTCTCTGTTGAATAATTGAATTGCAGAATTGTTGAATTGTTGTTGTTATTTCTGTGGTGATTTCGGTGGTTGTTTGAACTATGGGCGAAGGCTCGCAGGGTCGAGTGGGCACCTCAAGTGCTGAGGCCGAGGTGCAAAGACTTCGTTTGGAAGCCCAATTTCTGCAATGGGAAAATGACCTCATTGCAAAGAAGTTGAAGGCTGCCATGGAGTTGCAGTCGGGTGTTTCCCCAAAGGAAGGAAACATGGACATGCCAGGTGGAAGCCGGCGTGTGCTCCATCGGGTTGATTCCGATGTTGAGCTCAGGTTGCCCGAAGAGACTTCCGGGTATGTCTCTGGAGCAACTGGGAGAGTTTAAGGCGCAAATATGGTGCCTGAGTTAGCCCCTAAAGTGGGGAGGGAGGTGACTTTCATGGAAAGTACACCTCAGAAAGGACGGAGCTCAGGGATATTCCCCCGAGCGCAGTCGACGCCTGTTGCCAGGAAGACAGATGATACAAATGGTGATCAGATGTTGTTCATCCCTGAAGGTGGCGCGGAACGGGGTTTGGCAAGTACTGACCCGTTCGTTGGTGACATGGGGATGGTAACCCCTAAACAGGTAAAGAGCGAATTGTTAAGTTTTGCGACTCGACCAGTCGAGACGAAGAACAACAGTTCAGCTCAAGTTGACATCTCGTCGGTAGGTCCATGGCCACTGAAAAGAGAGGCACGGGTCCATGGTGATGTGGGTCAGATGGGTAGTTTGGAGCGACCAAATCGCAGGCCAAACATAACCCCTGATCGGTACAGCGGAAAGGTGCTCTGGAAGGAGTACTTCCGCCATTTTGAGTCGTGTCGTATAGTGAATATGTGGAGCGAGGAGCAGGCTGCGAGGTGGTTAGCCGCAAGCTTGCAGGGAGACGCTCTACGGTTATTCGGTGACTCTGGCCACAAGTACACGTATAGTGCGCTTGTAAAGTTGCTGGAGCGCAGGTTTGGGTCAGCTCGACAGAGTGAAAATTATCTCGTCGAACTGAGACATCGGCGCCAAAAGCCGAAGGAGACTCTGCTTGAACTAGGGCAAGCGATTCACGAATTGACAGCGAGAGCATACCCTGAGTTGCAGGAAGATGCTCGTGAGAGGTTGGCTAAGAACCACTTCATAGATGCTGTTGACAGTCATTCAGTTAGGAAGGGCATCAATAGGGCTCGTCCAAAAACTTTGGATGAAGCAATCCAGGCTGCCCTGGAGACTGAGAATTTCGAGAAGGTGGAACAGCACAGATTGCTGGACCGGAAGCCCGCCAAATTGGCGAGAGCTTTGGGTTCAGTAACTGAACAGAGGCTGGACACTCTCGAAGAAAATCTCAATAAGCAGGCCAAAACTTTGGACTCTGTGGCTGAATTGGTGAAGTCTTTGTCAAGTCAGATTAAAGGTCAAGGTCAGGGTAAGGGCGTGTTGTCTCCCCAGACTCACAAGCCCGGTAGGCCTGAACCTGGGGCCTTGCGGTGTTTCAGATGTGGTGACAAAGGGCACTTTGCCCGGGAGTGCAAGAAAATTCCAAAGCAGGGAAACGTCAGTCAGCCCCCCGTAGAACCCGTGGGAGGGCTGAGAGGTTAAAAGGGTTCAAGAGACAACACAGTGACAGCGAGGGTGGTGGTGGAGAGAAAAGGTCAAAGCCTGGGGATGGGCAACGAGTCAAAACTCTGCCTAATCCTAGTAGTGGAGCTCGTTATGGTTTGCTTGTTGATGGGATGGTAAGGACGACAAAGTGTCGATTTTTGATCGACACGGGGTCCACCGACACTTTGATAAATAGTACGGTGTACTACCAATTTCCTAAGGAAAAGAGACCCGTCT